GGATACACTCCCTCCGGCAGACCTCACTCGAGTGTTGGTCACAATGTGGTCTATCTGGTGGGCTAGGAGGTGAGCGATACATGATAATCAATTTCAGAGCCCAATGAGCACATCTTGTTTTGTTACTAAGTTCCTGGAGGATTTGGAAGCAGTTCTGTCAAGGACTTCTACTCCTAGGGCCCGTCATGCAACACCAGGGGAAGTTGCATGTAAGGGCCAGGGAGCCGAATGAAATACAAAGGGATCTGCATATGACGGGAACAAGACAGCGCCAAGCTTTAGGCTGGCCGCCACCATCACAACATGACACTAAGATAAATGTTGATGGCGGGCAAGCCAGTAGTGGAAAACTTGGAGCAGCAACAGCGGTGTATAGAGACAAGCATGATCTATTTCTCGACGCCTCAACGGTCGTGTATGATGGCCTTGTTGACCCGGTGACATTGGAGGCACACGCGTGCAACAAAGCCTTATCCCTAGCGACGGATCTCTAGGTTCAGTCCGTCTGCATTGCTACTGATTGTGCAGAGGCAGTGACCAACATTTGATTCTTTGCTCCATGCCGTTATGCAGCCATACTCCGAGATATTAATCATCGTAGGGAAGCATTTCTTAATCTGGAGTTTGTTCATGAAAAGAGGGTACACAATGGAGAGGCTCATTCTCTTGCAAAGGCAGTTTCTTCCTTACCTCTTGGGCATCCTGTGTGGCTTGATGTTTTGTCCAATATTATCTGTATTTCTATGAACTTGGATGTTTAATAAAGGTTTACAGTTCTAAAAAAAGAAGATAAAAGAACCATGAGATTGTCTTAAAAAAAGTATCAACTTATTCGATGGTTATGGTTTTTGACCACTGTAAACCGAATGTACACCAGACACTAAAAACCGCCTAACAATCATACATTGAACAAACAAACAAATTGGTTAAAACAGTTTGGTTCGATTCGGATTTCCAGTTTTTGGTGTGATAGTGTCCATCCCTACGGACAGCTAGGTTCGGATGAGGTCAACAGTGATCTCAACAAACTAAAGTTTCTCACCTGGAACAGAGAAACAAAAAGAGTTTTGAAGAAATGGAATTCCTAAGATTCCATATAAAGGTATTCTGTCACCGTTTAGAGCAAATGAATTTCTACCTTAAGATTTCATTTCGAATTCCTACTGCGAACATCTCAGTTCATGTGGTTCTAGACTTTGCAGCAAGCTGATTGTAAAAAAAAAAAAGAAGCTGATTTTGCAGTCTATGCCGTTTAGGTCTACATATATGTAATCTGACTGATATCAAAATGGAAATCAGATGATGCTGGTTAGACATTCTATTTTCTTTTTCTGTTTTTTTTTGTATACTTGTGTTTCGAGTTTGTGCGTCCCAACCCTAAACTTCCCACTTCCTCCTCCGCCGCCCCTCTCCCGCGCCTACCCCCCTGCTCGACCCCCCCTCTGCCGCCGCCGGCGCCGCCACGAAGCACGGGGCCGATGGAGGTCGACGGCGAGGCCCGCCCGTTCCTCCTCTTCTCCAAGCCCAAGTCCAGTCGCCGGACCGAGCCTCAGCCCCAAGTCCAGTCCCAGCCGAAACCCCCAAAACCCGACCTTTCTCCCGCCGTCAGACCGACCACGGCGGCTCTGGCGACTCCGACGACTCCGGCTCCGACTCTGACGCCGACCCGGCACCCACCGTCGAGACCGACCACGGCGACACCTGCAGCGCGGACGGCGCCGCCGCCGACGCGCTCGCCTCCTTCGCGGACCTCGGCCTGTCGGAGTGGCTGGTCGACGTGTGCACCTCCCTGGGTATGCGGCGCCCCACGGCCGTGCAGCGGCGGTGCATCCCGCGCGCGCTCTCCGGCGAGAACGTGCTCGGCATCGCCGAGACGGGCAGCGGCAAGACGGCCGCGTTCGCTCTCCCCATCCTGCACCGCCTCGGCGAGGACCCCTTCGGCGTCGCCGCGCTCGCGCTCGCGCCCACGCGGGAGCTCGCGGCGCAGCTCGCCGAGCAGTTCCGCGCGCTCGGCTCGCCGCTGGGGCTCAGGTGCCTCGCGGCGATTGGAGGGTTCGACTCGCTCGCGCAGGCCAAGGGCCTCGCGCGCCGTCCCCACGTTGTCGTGGCCACCCCCGGCCGCATCGCCACGCTCATCAAGAACGACCCTGACCTCGCCAAAGTCTTCGCCCGCACCAAGGTTGGCATTCGGTTACTCTTTTAGCAGTCATACGCCAAGATATAGCAACTACTTGCTTGCCCACTTGTGCTATGGCCTGCTGTCATGTACAACCGCACATCGAATTTCTCATCCTGACTCAAAATGCATATGGTTTGCTGCTATTAGAAAGACAAAATATGCCCATATAGTCGCTAAACTTGTATGTCGTAAAGATTTCTGTAGGCAATGTTAGTGGTGTGTTATCTTGCAAATAGTAGTAGAGATGTTATGCTATTTGACTGTCATAAGAACCTATAAATGATGTGCTGCTTTTTTTTTGTGATGAATCAAGGTGTTTTGTCAGTATCATGATGCGAAGAAACTATTGGTAGCACGCCTTTGTGCTAAAAACACGTGATTCGACTGAAGTTTAGCAGATTTCTTGTGCTTATGTCTGATG